TAATCCGTCGTCTTCACTTTTTACCACGACGGTTAATATCTTTGAGTTAGGCGATTTATTTTATATGTTTTACAATCTATTCACTCACTAACATTCTCTCTATCTCTTTTAGGATGATTTAAAAAAACAAGTCTCTGAGGGCACTATGACTGTCTCTGGGAGCAATGATGTTTTGACCTTGGCTTTGGGAACACCTGAGCATGGTGGGAGAGTCAGAGGTGTTGGAGCTGGGGTTTCCCCAACTCAATTCTTCAATTTGCTGAGACAGTAGAGAGTAAAATTTGCTGACAAATTGAAGGAAAGTCTTATGGAGGTAGTCAGAGAAGAAACCAAGAGGATCGAGGCTAGGGCAAAGGAAACTGTTTTGGAGGCAGTCAGACAAGAGAGGGAAATTTTGTTGGAACAATTCCGTCAACGAGTTCCCAATTTTGATCCGAACTTGCTCAAGAAAAATTATTATGTCAGTATTTTAGGAATATCGTCGTTTATATATTAATACCACAACGATTTGGATTGTTTAGTTAGAGTTGTTTATTTTATTTGATTTACAAACTATCTTATATTTCTTTGTTTATTTCTTTTAACAGGATCTCTCAAAGATAGACTTGACACCTCCTCTATTAGCCTTATGCGAATTTGTCCAGACCACTTTGAAGCCCTCAAATGAGATGTTGAGAGTTAACATTCCAGAGGAAGTGTTTGGGTATGAGCATGATACCTTCATCTTGTGTGAAGATATTTTGCAGTTTGCATCCATGGTTGAGATCGGATCCACAGTGATTGCAGTATACACGAGGTCTTAATTATATTTTTTTTTTTTTTTTTTTTTTTTTTTTTTTTTTTTTTTTTTTCTTTTAACTCTACCTATTTTTTTTTTTTTATTTAATAAAAATATCATTTCATTAATTGAATTTTTATGTATATTTGTACCTATTTATTAAAATGGCAAATATGGTAAACCTTGTTGGCCTCGTCGACCCTGGACAAGTTAGCTCTCAATCTTGATCGTTATCTTACAAATCAAAACATCTGTCAAATCACCTGGAAAAGGCAGATGGGGACCAATTTTTCTTGGTGCCTTATAATCCAAGGTTAGTCCCCTTAACTATTTAACCTCTTTTCTTGGTAATATTTTTCTTGGAACCTAACTAATTAATTAACCTATATGGATGTACGGGTCATTGAGTGTTGATTATTGTGAGACCAGCTAAGGAGACGGTCTATTATATTGGATTCATTGCCAAACCGCTCGATTGACGAGGACATGAGAAATATAGTGAAAACGTAAGCTGATTTACTCCATTCTAAGATTTTTTTTTTAATCTGTACATTAGGATTATACGACGGTTCTTTCTAATACTGACATTAGAATGCATACACAATGACGGTAATTTCTTACCACTTTTTGTAAATGTTTACTACGTCAGTATTTTACAAAAACCGTCGTCTTAATTTAAAAACCACATCGTATAGGTAAAACATTTAGAGTCGTTTGATTTTTTCTGTTCAACTTTAACTTTTGGATTACGACGGTTTTCCTAGTTACGGACGTTAGAATTCTGACACAACGACGGTAGCTTATACTGTTGTTTGAAATAAAATACTATGTCAATTTTTTTAAATAAACCGTCGTCTTCATTGATTTACCATGTCGGTTAACTTCGCTAATACAACTCATAAGTATAACTCTCATGTAGACAAACAATAATCGCATAAGTCAACCATATGGAAAAATCTACACGGCACTCCTCGACAACCAACAAATATAGAGTGTGGCTACTACGTCATGCGTTTCATGAGATATAATTCATGATCTAGACCTAGAATTTGAGAAGAAGGTAAAAAACAAAATTTAAAATTTAAATTCTTTTTTTTAACAACTACAACTTTTTTTGAAAAACCGTCGTTTGTATAATTATAAAACAACGGTTTTATTTGGTTTATTTATAACTGTCGTTTTAATCTTTATAACATGTCTATTTATGTCTTTTATTTTGCAGTTTGACAAGAAAAAGGAACCAATTATGTATGTATAAGAACGTACTGACGAAGTCAGGCTGGAATGGGCAGAATTTGTTAATAAACAAATAGAGAATAATAAGTTATATAATTTTTATTAACAACAGTTAGGGTTCATTAAAAATGTACATAATTTTTATTTTTTATTTTGTAATTATTTAACAATCATCAAATAAATTTTTTTTTTTTGCTTAGGTTATTTATGACTTTATATGAATGACAATGATAGTAATTCATAAAAACTAAATTTAAATCGCAAAAACCAACGTCTCATTCATGTTAACACGTCTCATTAGTATAAACCACCGCCGTCTTATTATAGATTGAAATAAAACATCGACGGCAAATTTTAAAAATGACATGAAATTGAGAAAACATGACGGTTTATATATAAAATTGAAGTCTACATATACCTTCATCTTGTATGAAAAACTTTCGTACAGATATACCACGATTGTTAATACCAACATTTGGACGTCGTACATAACATACAATGGCAGTAAACTTACAAAAGTTGACGTTGTAGGCATTAAACAACGTCGTCCACAACATTGTAAATCTAAACCACGTCGGTTGTTTAGATAATATGGACGTTGTAAGTATTAAAGACGACGGTTACGTCATAACAAGCGAGGTTGTAAATTGTGAAACACGTTGGTTCTTAAATTTTTGCCGTCTAAATGAACTATGACGTCGGTCGACATTGTTTAATGTTGTTGTAAATAAATGCAACGTCGGTTATATACACGTGTTAGTTCATATTAATATGTCTTTTATATTGTATTTAATTCATAATACAATAATAAAATAAAATAAAATTCCAAAAAATAGACTGACAACTACCATGCACTCATTGAAAGGATTGTCTCCCCCTCCCCCCCCTCCCCCTAAAGTTTTTAAAAATGTAATTTTAAAAATATTTTTATTGTATTTAATTCCTAATATTCATAATATATTCAAAACAATTCTAAAAAATAAACCGATAAATACTATGCACTCATTGAGAGAATATCTTCCCCCTAAAGGTTTGAAAAAATATCATTTTAGTTTTCAAAATTACAAGTGATCACAAAAGTCAAAAAGACAAAGCACAATAGTCCTTATACTTTCATAACATAACCCTAAGGTTTATGTGATCTATTTGTGGCCATAAATTTAAATATATGAAATCCTGTTGATTGTTTTTGGTCAATCACGCACGTTCGAATTCCAGGAAACCCAAAGCCCATCTAATTATTTTATATTTAAGATGTCGGTTTTTCAAGAAGCAACATGAAACTAATTTACTACGTCGTTTTCTTTAAAGTACCGACATAGTAATGGTTTACAACATCGTTATGTTTAGTAAACCATCGTCGTACTTGAACATTAAACATCGTAAGTTATGTATTTTCTATGGGAGCTGTATATGGGTTCTTAATATATGTTTTGGTGTTGGCATGCTTCTTATGGGTTCTCATATGTTTGTTTGGTCATGGGTTGCCGGAAAAGGATTGGGAATGGGAGATTTAGGTTGTGGGTTTTTGTAACCCACGACGACAATTGATGGACCAAACCATCGTATAAATTCTCATTATATGTCGGTTGTTCATTACTTCTGTTGTCTGAATTTTTGTTCCTATTTTGTAGCCTAAAGACGACTATTTTTACACTAACCGTCGTCTTTAAGCTACCAAAACCAGAACTTGTTCACCAAAAGCAATACATAGACTAAAGACGACAATATCTCCATTAACCGTCGTCTTTAGTCTACATGAACCCATATCGATATTCTTCAAGAAGCAATACAAATTTTTGGGTTTGGGTTTGGTTAACCTAAAGACGACAATAATTCGAGATGTCATTGTCTGAATTGCTATTAAATGACGATTATTATAAATACCGTCGTCTGATTTTTATTTTATTTTTTGTGTTTGTATTTTCAGTTTATTCTATGCTATATGAATATAGTAGTGTTTCATTGCTGGTCTTTTCACATTATTATATATATAATTTTATAGTGTGTGAGATGGATAAGTCATGGATGCATGCGGATAGAAGATCAAAGGCATATGAGTTTGGGGTGGAAGGATTTTTGAATTTTTCCATAGAAAATCTTGGAAATACAAGTCATATTCAATGTCCATGTGTTAAATGTGGGAATATTCGATTACAACTGAAGCAAAGTACATGGCTGCTTTGGAAGTTGCAAAGGAAGTGATCTGGATGAGGAAGTTAATTACTGAACTTGGAGTGCTCCCAAGCATTGAGTCACCAGTCATTTGATACTGTGAGAACAATGGGGCTATAGCACAAACCAAGGAACCAAGGTCTCATCAAAGATCCAAGCACATTCAGAGGTGCTATCACTTAATCCAGGCATATGTTGCTGATGGAGATATTAGCATGCTCAATGTGGCTTCAGCAGACAACGTAGCAGATCCACTAACAAAGCCTATGAGTCAACTTCAGCTGGACCGACACATGGAGAAGATGGGTATTAGATACATGTCAGATTGGCTTTAAAGTGCAAGTGTTGGAGAAAACATAGTTAGGGTTTTTTGGTTTCCTACTTTGGTTAATGAGTGATCATCTTTGTATCTCATCTTCCATAAACCAAAAATTGGTCCAATGAAGAAGTAGACTAGCATCCATACTTCTTGATTGACTTCTCTTCATCTCTAGGAGCATTTGGTGTGGTGAGGTAGATGACTCCAATCTTGGAGCCTCAAGGTGAAGGAGTCAAAATCAAGAGAAACAAAAGGTCTTTCCAACAAAGGTGTTCATTCTTGAGAAATCAAGAAAAGGTCATCAAGGTTAAAGATCTATTCCCTTTTTCCCCTTTCTATTTGTGTTCAAAGCGACTAGGCTAAGATACTTGGCTTAAAATGAAAAAGGTTGAGCTCAACTAGTATAAACAAAATGAATCCGTCATTTAGAACGTTTTTGTTGTATAGGTTGTGGCTGAAGTTCATTTCCTAAGCATTAGATGCATGTTTCCTTCAATTTGAACCTCTTGGAAGTGTTTTCAGTGGTAATAGCAGACTATGGCTTGCAACATTGGTTGGAGCTACTGCAGTGGTTGCAATCCTTGTCAAACCCCCTCCATTTGCCTACAAATGAAATTAATCATAATTAAAACAATTCAAATGAGTCATCCAATTAAATCATTCAATCATAATTTCACATTCTTTACCTGTAGTTTAGGTCTTCTTATTGTTCTAGATTGGAGTTCTTCTTGAGATTGATGGACTGAGTTGATTCCTCTTCCCATGCCTCTTCCTCTTGCACTTCTTGTATTGTTGTCTGCCCTACCACAATTAGTAGCATTGTGACCTTCTCCTCCACAAACCGAGCAATGGATTACAATTCCATATCTCCTAAGCTTAGTGGCACCCCTTGGAATCTCATCAACTGCTCTAGTCCTTGCCTTCTTTGGCCTATCACTCTGTTTGTGATACAGTGGTGGTTTAAATGAACTATGACCTGATTTCCTCCGTAATCGTTTGATAGGACCCGCCCCAAATACCTCGAAATTCTTGAGGATCCTGTGGTTTTTCCGACATCCAAACGTTGCCGGGCCCACTTACTAATTTCAAACATCCTCTTCCCCAAAAACAAAGGAAAAGAGGACTGAGACTTCTACCAAAATTTTGGCAGAGTCTCCCCTAAAAAACGGACTTAGCCAAATTTTCCAACCTAATAAAACATAGTTTAAAATTCCCAAACTTCAGTATGCACAATCATAAGTAGTTGTAAAGACTCAATCCATAATCATTCGTGAATCTAAAATAGGTTTCAGCCTCGTCACAACTACAAACACATTTTAACCACATCCCTTCAGTAAAAACTGGAATATAAACAGGCATTTAATCTTGCCTAAGTTTCAATTGGGCTTTAGGTCACCGACAAATTCAAAACCAAACTTAACAAATCTAATAAATAGGATTTGATCCCAATGACCAAATTAAAGAAAAAAAATATAGTTTATCTTGCGGCTGCACTTGGGTGAGACCCCAGGCTACCTACATACCCTTACTGAGGGATCAAGCCACACGTAGTTCTTCAATCAATAGTCATGAATCATATAACATAGAATTATTTTCAATAATACCAACAAGTTAATTTTAGAATATTTTCAATAATACCAACAAGCAATATCTCAGCCCATGAACCACAAACCCATTTTTCTTTACTCACTCTGTTCTTAAGACTCATAACTCAACGACCCTTTCCCTTTAACAATTCACATATGCTAAGCATAATTCCTTTAAACGTTACTCTTTTTCCCGATATGTTATAATAATCTTTTTCCCTCTCCCTATTACTTTACTACACTCCAAAGAGTCCAACTCCACACGTAGTAAAGTAACAGTAATTAAAATGTCCAAATCCCTTACCACACGCCGGAATAATCCAACGCCACGTATGGTAAAGTAACCAGTATCTGAGTGAGCCCACATGCCGACAAGACTAAACCATGTCCTATGCACGTGGACTGCTTTATCACATGCTGGATAATCCAATTCCGCGTGTGATAAAGTACAACATAACCAAGTAAGCCCACACGCCAGAAAATCCAACGCCACGTGTGGCTAGACCAAACCATGTCCTACACACGTGGACTGCTTTATCACAGGCCGAATAATCCAACGCCACATGTGATAAAGTACTAACACAACCAAATGTGCCCACACACCGGATAATCCAACACCACGTGTGGATACAGTAACCAAGGGAGGGTACTTAGCATGGTGCAATCACATATTCACATAACAATCAACAAAGTACCGCAACTCATATCAATCCCTTTCCCAGTTATTTAATCATAGAGTGAATAACAATTTCTCAACACTCATCATCCATATTCAAATTAATTATAAGCCTCAAATATCAAAAGAGCCGAAATCTCCATAATTAAATGATATATATATATATATAAACTCCTATGTGCATGGAAATTTAATCGTTGAAAATAATGCTATTTCAAAACAAAGTCCACTCACCTCGTAATAATCCTATCCGAAATTAAATTCCCAATTTCACATTTATGCAAATTTAACACACCCCAATGATATCATAGTTAAAAGAATAACATTCAGTATACTGAGTTCAAATTTAATAGGTATCAGCATAGACTGAAATTCAAATCCATATACTCTAATAATAATAATAACATTAATAATAACAACGATACTGATAGTAACCCCTGTAAATCCCAGATCACATTCTAAAAGTCGAGACTAGCCCGAGCATCCTCCCACACACCGGCAACTCATTGTACATGCGGGCGACATTCGTAACAACTCAGATAAGGTACATATCCTAATGCAAAATTCCAATTTCCCAAAACAAATCATTTCCATTCAACCTAAATATATATATATATATACATATATAATAAAATAGCACCCATACTTCCTTGTTGAAAATCAAAATAAAATCATAATTAAGAGAACACTAAATCTAAATAAGCCCTTTCGATTTTATTAATATTCAAAACACTATTCATATACTTAGGAATATACAATCTCTGAAATTTCCATAAGACAAGATAATAAAATTCAAAACACCATATCTTACACAAAGTCACCTAACCTTTTTTAAATAATATTAATAACACTAATAATAATAGTAATAATAATAACCATTCCCAAAATTCCCATAATCACGTATCCCATCCTAAAAATTCACTAGTTTGAATTAGATCACCCATAACTTTTAACATCCGTTCTCAAATCATTCCACATAAGTATAATGTACCATTTCTTATAAGAACAGAGTCTAAGGGAGATGAAAAGTACAAGAGTCAAGGACTTACAAAAGCAATGCTTAATTGAATTTAGTTACATGTTTTCATATTTCAAAGTAAACCAAAATAAATGCCAACAAACAAGCATTTATATAATAAAAGGAACACAATAACACAAGAATGGCAATATATTAGCATGTAGCAGAAGAAAACTGAGCATGTAAAGTATAAGTCACGAGGAAAAACAAACACAGCAATGTTACTTCTACAACTAGGTAGTCAAAGTTAGTAAGACCTGAAAATTACCTAGCATTGCTACAACGAGCACAAGAAATAGCTTGCATGAGAAAATATGATATAAAGCACAACAGACATGTAAAAAGTTCAAATCCAAATAGAAAAATTTCACAAACAATAGAGCATGAAGCATCTTATTATGAATGGGAAAAATCATAAGATGGATATAGTAATGAAGATTCCATAATTATATAATTAAAGTTTTGCCAAGCATCCACAAATAATACCCATACTGGAGCTGACATGTTCTCATTTTTTTAGTATAAATGGAAAATTTTAGTTTAATAGATTTAATGGGAAAACAACAGGAAGCACCAAAGCCTTAGCGTTATCAAGACACATTTTTAGAATATCATAAGTAGTTCTAATTGTCTCTGACAGTGGTGCATTGCAGAACCATGTTAACAAAGAGAATCTATTAATAAGCGTAGGATCTACATTACAGAGGGCTCCTGATACATTGATCCCTCTTGTTGCCATATTATTCGGTCTAAAGGGAACTACGGTCTTTAGTTCAGGGTTTCGAGCTGCTAACTGAGTAACTTTTACGAAGAAAATGCGTTACCTACATCCATCCACCCCAACCCCTTTGTTGGATTTGATCATCCATGCATGATGAAAATGGGTCTCACAAGTTAACCTACAAACCCTTCCAATGCTGAGATAATTCATGGTCAAACTCATTCTAAATCTCATTCTTATAGAATCTACAGTTAACCTTTAAACAAGCCTTGAGATTTATATGTTGCTCCAAGCCAAACCCACCTATGCTAAGAGGGTCATGATGTGTATCTAACTGTGTATACACAACCTTGGAAAGGTCCGAAAGCCATTCTAGTACCTTCACAAAGGATGAGACAGTCTCAAAAGGACCTTGGTCTACAATTGGTCAAACTTCTTGTTTTTGGTCAACTGGGCTTGCGGGGCCCACAACCTAGGATTTCCGATCCGAAAGTTCCTACGGGTTCAACAAAGTTTACTAAACACCTCCTGCAAGTTTGGTCCAGATCGAGCGGTCGGATCGCTCTCGATCGCACGATCGGACGGTCACCGTTTTAACTCATCTTTGAATGATTGATTCGGAGTATCCGGGACTCCAATCTGACCCATGAGTTCCTACACAATCCTAGATCAACATGCTTGGCAATGGAGCCGATCCAACGGTCCGAACATATCGATCCCGGATATCGCCTAATATGCGTAAATCCTTTTCACTGTCAAACGATAACCAAATTCAAATCCGAGCATACCGTGATGTTCGGGACGACATGAGGAATATTTTAGGACAAAGTGGGACACCACCCCATGGCCCAAGTGCCAGCAGCACGTGTGCGTCTTGAGAAAATTCCGGCGACTGGAAAATTATCAAAACACCCGACAATACCTATACCTACGTGATCAAGACAACTAGGGGAGAAATTTATAAAACCTCAAAATGGATCTACAATACCTACATAAATGGATGGAGAACGAAGAGTAGATGAAGTTTCATACCTCATTCGACGAGAACCATCACTGGAATCACCTGAAAATGGAAGAACACCGCCGAAAAAACCTAACCCTTTTTCAGCTTCAAATTCAGCTCATCGTCAACAAATCAGATCAGGTATTGGGTGGGTTTTGTAGAGGAGGACGAGGGGAAGAGATTTCATGAAGCTTGTTGTGCCACTGTAGCGTCGGGAAGGAATGAAAAAAACCAGAAAATCTGGTTATATCACAAGGAAGAAGAAGGGAAATAGGAGAATCTAGCAATGTAGCACAGTAGCAATACTATAGCTACCTTTACGTGTGGGTTACAACTTGGAATTGAGCATGCCACCTGTCTACAAACTCATAAAAGTGAGCCCTACGCAACGGTGTAACTCAATTTCCCAAAATCCTGTCGGATCAAAAAGTAACCAAAGTGCCCCACCACTAAAAGAATTAAATTGATTAAGTCAATTAAATTGGGAAAGCATACATGGATCGACAAATTTGGTAGCCAGAATCATTGGAAACGACATCGGAAGTTTTGAGTGAAAACATGCCCTTTTTCTGAGTTTTCGGTCGAACTGGGTTGCAAGCTACAGCGGGGTAGGGGTGAGGTGGGAAAAGGATGGTGCGCTTGATGTTTTGGTACCGACCCCATCAATTTTGGTGGCCAGAGGTGGTGGTTGCCACCAAAACGTGGCCGGCTGTAACAGGGAGGGTTTAATTGGACTATGACCTAATTTCCTCCATAATTGTTGGCTTGGCATTGGTGAAATGTAATTGCTTTAAGCCTTATCATAAACTTATCTCTTATAAACCTTATTGACATAACTCATTGGGCTCCTCTGTTTCCTTGATATTATAGCCATGGCTTGGCAACATGGGATGCCACATAGATCCCATTTTCTACAAGAGCAAGAGTGAGTATTTAGATCAACTGCATATTGCCCACCAAGCATATGGGTGTATAGCCTATTGACATAACTCATTCAGGATCTTGATGGTACGTTTAGATGAATTGCATATTGCCCACCAAGAATACTGACGTAACTCATTCAAGATCTTTATGATGAAGAGGAGGAAAAAGCTGTTGTGGTGTATAGCCTAACACCAGCTTCCAGGCTTCTCGCCTTTTTGGGGTTTGGTTGCTCACCAACCAAAATTTGGTAGCTTGTTTAATGAAGCAATGGAGGATGAATCTCAGCTGCTAGCAAGCGCAGTGGTTGAAGAGTGTGAAGAAAATTTTGAGGGTTTGAATTCCTTGGTTGATGTTGGAGGTGGCACAGGAACCATGGCCAAGGCCATTGCCAAGGCCTTCCCCGACATCAATTGCACTGTCTTTGACCAACCACATGTTGTTGTGAACTTGCAACGGACTCACAATTTGGATTTTGTTGGAGGAGATATGTTTGAGAAGGTACCCCCCAGCAAATGCAATACCTTAAGGTAATTATAAAACTCAATTATTTCTCTCATTTTTATTATTCCTTAATTTCCTAATTAATTATTACCTTGTTGTTAGTAAGCACATCACACCTTTGCCTCTGCAGAATTTTCTAAAGTTGTCCTTGTTCTGCTTGGCTTTCAATCCAAGCCTACATCCCAAAATTAGGAGGTGTATTCAATTGATATTTTAAAAGATTATTTTGGGATAAATAAATCTTGTGGTATTCTATTAAGACTTTTAAATAATCTAAACAAGTCTTGTGGTATTCCATTAAGACTATTAGGATTTTTAAAAGAGGGTGTCGAAATCACGTGGTATTCAATCAAGACTTTAAACAAGTAACAAAAAGTCTTATGGTATTCAAAAACTTGCTAATTTCGAAGGATTTTTACAATGTGGAATTGTGTGAGACTTTTTAGTGGGAGGTATAAATACGAAACCCTATCTCAAATCACACGCTAACCCATGAGATTTTTCACGTGAGATTTATTTTTCATTCATGAAAAAATGAACTGACCAATAGTGCGAAAAGGCTTCTCTCTTTGTGTCATCCCGGTGCCGGAGTGGGAAAAACCTCAGGTGGTGTTGGAGGCATGGAGAAACTCAAATGGTTTGTGCCTAATCCCATATCTTCCATTACCTTGAGCACCTGGAATGGCAGAGTAATGTAATTCCACATCTTGACGGACTCCAAGTTACCGACCCGGGATGCACGGCTCACCTTTTTGTGGTACTCTTGAGCTTCTTTCTCCTTGCCAGCTTTGAGCAGGTAGCAATGAACAATTTTGATGAAGCATTTGTTGCTGGCCACCTGAACCTGGGCCATGCAGTCTTTGAGAAAAGAACAGTCAATTGGACTAGGGTTAATCTAATCGGCTGAATTGCTTTTATTGATAGCAATTTGTTCTGCAAGAACCTTCTCCAGGCAAGAGTTTTGAAACTGACAATGTGAGAAGAACCTTCTTTGTTCAGGAGAAATAGTTCTGGGATCAGGGAGGATTAGTTGGGAAGGCAAAAGGGTTTGCAATTCGAGGAATGGATGTATCACAACGCATACTTGCTAGTAGTACATCAGTTCTTGGAGGTAGTGCAAAATATATGATCTCCATTGTTTCTGGAGCAACTGAGATTTTCTATTTTGTATCTTAGTTAATGGTATTCTTCTGCGTATTGTATTTTCTGATCACATCTGAGTTTGGTGGAGTGACTACACAAGTGATGAGTATGTTTTCAATTTCAAAGTCTGCAAGGGTTAGATGAGTTGAAGTTCTTGATAATGCTATATATGGTATTCTTTTGGCTACAGCTGAGATTGCAATTTTTCTGGGATGTCTCACATGGCTTTTATTAAGACTGTACAAAATACATTTCTTGTACATGTCCACAGTTCTTGCAATCCTTAGCTCTATGCTGGTTCCCACCATCTGTTCGATGAAATGCCTGAAAGAGGCTTCACTGCAACAGCTGGGAACCGATATTGGTTACTAGTAGAATTACAGTTAACATTGTCAGTTTCAAAAAAATAAAACCAAAACTTATTTTGCTGATGTGGCATATTCTAAGCCATTGGATTTTTTAATACAAATTTATAAATAAACCCAATCCTAGACATGTATTTATAAAAAAACCCAAGCACTATTTAAACATAGAAACACACCCAAAATCAACCATAAAATCAACAATTGTATATTTTTTGGGTGTGTTTATAAATGGGTTTTGAGTGTGTGTAATGATGGGTTTTTGGTGTGTTTATAAAGTGTTTTGGGTGTTGGGTTTTTTTATAATTTCAGCCCTCATTTTGGGTGTTTTAGTTAAACTCCCATTTTTTAAACTCATAATCCGTTAAATCCATGTGGTCCTTTCAAATCTTATAAATCTTGATATAAATCTTTGAAATACATAAGGAAAAAATCTTGATTATAAAAAATCCATAAATAAAATCCTACAAATCATTACATTCTCCTTAAATCCACTAGACTTCTTATCTCTAAATAGTCTTTTAAAATCCCAGTTGAAATAAGAAAATCCCCAAATCAAAGAAAAAGGGAGGGAACCAAAATTTATCATATATAGATCAAATTTCTGCAAAATGCAAAAGAGAAGAGAACTGAGAAGAGAGCAAAGAACAAATCGGCTAGGAACATAGATGGAAGCAAAGGTGGCGGACATGGAGACCAAGCATTGGAATCCCAGATCAGAAAACACATAACGCATGAATTACAACAATTGATCGATATTAAATTGAAATTTAGGGTTATTAGAATAAAGTAACAATTGGGAAGAAAGAAAAGAGTTGTGATAGAATTGGGATACGTGCTTCTTCAGCAGAGAAGGAGATCTCGTTGGCCTTTCCCTTGGCTTCTTAGCAAATGAACCTCACCTTGTGCTAGATCTCCTTTGAGATATCTGTGTCGCTGACTAGTAAGAGAGTGTTAGTATGAAAATTGTATTGTCATTTCCTAGACTCTAGCATGGGTTGGGAATTAGTGTGTGAAAATCTTTTACTTGAAGTTTTGGCGCAACACATTCAATCCCGGATTTTCTAAGTATGACTTGATTGATATGAGGAACTTGATTTCAGGTAAATCATGATATAATCATGCATTCATTATAGGATTCCTAGTTTGAGTTATTTTCAATCAAGTATTTTTATGTTAATCCTATTTTTAATAGGATTAGATTTTATCTCTTGAGATTCTTTCCTAGTTGGACTCTATTTTAATTTAAGTTAAAATATTATGTTTTCGTCATCTTTTACTTGAAGAGCACTTGTTATTAATACCTAATTGGGTTCTTTGATTAATATTGTTTCCTTGAATAGCAATTGTTTTGATGGGTAGTTATCCTAAAGATTGCATAAGCTGACGAAATTAAATAGGAATCTAAGAGAATCAAATATGATCAATGGCAAGAGATTGAGAACGTGGCTTGGTGCTCTTCTCTTGCAAAAAGGAGATTGTGGTATGTATAAGAATATAATGTGCTTCTTTGTTTGACACGACTTTTCATAAATTTTGTTTTGAGCATATAGAATTTTCAAGAGAAAGCTGATGTGCATATCTTTGAGATAAGTCATCAAGTGTTCCATGTTTACTTGGTGATTTATCAAATCCTTTCGTCATTCATATTGTATTCATATACATGTCGGTGACTCATATGATTGAGGGCACCAAGACCGTAGTGGCGGTTTTGTGTTGAACATAAGGAGTGTCCAAGATCATCCTATGACAAAAGTTGAGTTACGAAGAAGTCGGTAAACATAATCTAGAATGTGTCTAGGATAAGTGTGTGAGTACTTCTTGTAATCATCGTTCTATTGTGGATTTGTGTTGGACTGAGGAGTCCCGTGGATTTTCCCCAGAGGTGGGGTTTTACCACGTAAAATAATTCTCTACAAGTTCTTTTATTTTATGCACAACACGTTTTAGGATTGATAAGCCATATCAATCCTGCTATCGAAGTTTATTTTTTGTTTATTGATTATAATTTCAAATGGGCCTATTCACCCCCTCTAGGCATTTATAGTCATTTTACAGGTAATTTCAATTGGCATCAGAGCAGGTTGCTGAACATACTTAGCAAGATCCGACATACCTTAGGATGGATCGTGTCGCAGGCTCTGTTGCACATCCACCATATTTCGATGGCAACAACTATGGCGCTTGGAAGGCCAAAATGATGTCTTTTCTTTGGTCCTTAGATGAACGTGTATGGAATACAATGGTTCATGAATTTCCTAAACCCACAAAGAAGATTGGAAAAGGAGATGAAGAAACCACAGTCCTCGAAACTAGAGAGGAGTGGACCACTGCAGAAGTCTCACACAGCACTAATAATCAAAAGGGGTTAAATGCTTTATTTACTGCTGTCTCTTCCGATCAGTTTGAATATATATCTGGTTGTGATACTTCTAAGGAAGCTTGGGATATTTTGAAGGTTGCTCATGAAGGAACAGATACTGTCAAGGGAGCCAAGCTCCAAATGCACGCCTTACAGTTTGAGACACTCATGATGGATGAGAATAAAACTTTTTCTGAATTTTATGCTAAACTTTGTGTAATTGTGAATGCTTGTTCAAGTTTAGGTGAAAAAATTCCAAAAGATAGGGTGTGAAAAGAATTTTGTGATCCTTGCCTCAACGGTTTCAACCAAAGATCACTGCTATTGAGGAAAAAATTACAGCTCCAACCGAAAATTGTAGAACCAATAGTCAATACTCAAACACTGCCAACAAAAAATCAAAGCACAGTCCAAACAGAAGAAGATGTAGAAATGCAACAAAGCCCAGAACTGAGAAGATCACACAGAACTACAAGGCCTGCATTAGCAGACGACTATTTTGTGTATCTACAAGGAGCTGAGCAAGATGTGAACAACATTGAGGACCCCATGACCTTCAAACAAGCCATGATAAGTGAAACATGTGACAACTGGTGGGTAACAATGAAATCAGAATTGAATTCAATGGAGAAGAATGGAGTATGGGAGCTTGTAACCTTGCCTTAAGGCTGCAAACCAATAGGTTGTAAATGGGTATTTAAGACAAAGAGAAACTTAAAGCGGTAGATAGACAGATATAAGGCAAGATTGGTTGCCAAAGGGTTTACATAGAAAGAAGGAATCGATTACAATGAGACCTTCTCACCAATCTCAACAAAAGATTCATTGAGGGTAACTATGGCACTTGTAGCACATTTTGATCTACACTTACATCAGATGGATGTTAAAACTGCATTCCTAAATGGAGATCTTGAAGAGGAGATTTACATGATGCAACCAGAAGAGTTCATTTAAGAAAAAGAAAAGAATTTAGTCTGCCAGTTGGGCAAATCAATTTATGGACAAAAGCAAGCCTTAAGACAATGGTATTTGAAATTTAATAAAGTTGTAAAGGCATATGGATTCACAGAAATGCATTGGATGAGTGCATATACATATATATATGAAGATGAGTGGGAGACATTTCATTATTTTGGTTCTCTATGTGGATGACATTTTACTGGCTTGCACAAACCTCACTATGTTAGATGATTGTAAAAGTTTTCTGTTCAAACATTTTGACATGACTGATCTGGCAGAAGCAACCTACGTATTGGGCATAGACACAAGTAGAAATCGAGAGAAGGGTTTGCTTGGACTATCATAGAGATCTTATATTGAGAAGGTACTTGAAAGATTCAATATGCAGGATTGTGCAGGAAGTGATGTTCCCATTGCAAAAGGAGATAAGTTAAGCACTGAGCAGGCACCTAAATCTGAACAAGAGAAGCTTGAAATGGCTGACAAACCCTATGCTACACTAGTGGGGAGTTTAATGTATGCATAAGTGTGTACAAGACCTGATTTGGCTTTTGCAGTTAGCATGTTAGGAAGATTTCAGTTAAACCCTGGACAAGCGCATTGGGTTGCAGGGAGGAAAGTTATGAGATACTTGCAGAGAACAAAAAACTACAAACTAGTATCAAGAGAAGTGAACAATTGGAATTACAAGGATTTGCAGATGTTGCAGAATGTCAAGATACATTAAAATCCACATCTGGTTTTGTGTTTATGTTTGGAGGAGTTGCAGTATCATGAAGAAGCATCAAACAGCCTCTTACAACTGGATCAACAATGCTTGCTGAATTTCTAGCATGTTATGAAGCCACCTCTCAGCCTATGTGGTTAAGAAATTTCATTTTTAGTTTGAATGTGGTGGAATCTATTTGGAAACCAATTCAACTTTGGAATGACAATAGTGCAGCTATGTTGTTTGCAAAGGAGAATAAAAGAACAGGAGGTTCGAGGCTGCTGGATGTTAAGTACATAATAGTAAAGGAGAAAATT